GCCACCTTAGGTGTATGTGGCTGGCGCCTTAGCCGGTTGAGCTATAGGGGCTGAGCCCTCTAGTGTTATTTTAATGTACATAGTCAATTTTGCTTAGTTTTCACCCAGTTAAACTGGGTGTACACATACATATCTCATAAATTTTTAAACCCAAGAGGGTACCTTTTAAATGTTCTTCAAAGGTCTTATATGATATTTTCTACTCTAAAGTCTGGACTGGAGATATAAAACATACCCCTCTTTTGGTTTTGTGTTGTTCACCTTATAGTTCTAGATTTTTTAGGGACTGGAGAATGGGTCCCTTTTGTTAGTTATTTGACTCCCTTAACCCATTTTGTTACTTGCTGGATTTTCAGCTCCTCAGGTGACTGTGGAAAACAGTTTTGTTTTTGTTTTTGTTAAGAATTTGTATTGATATTTGTTGAACATATACATTTATTCGTTAAAATGTACTTTCTTTTTCATATACTCCTTTCAAAGACTCTTAGAATATTTAGTTGAGTGTTGGCATTATTTAAAAGCCATCTTTATTCTCCCACCTTGCCTTGTGGCAAGTGGTAATATGGTTTGATGTGATGATACTTTTTTTTTTTGGAGACAGTTTCACTCTGCCCTGGGCAGAATGCCATGGTGTGCTAGTTCACTGCCGTGGCGTCCTAGCTCATAGCAACCTCAAACTCTTGGGCTCAAGAGATCTTTTTGCCTCAGCCTCCCAAGTAACCAAGACTACAGGTGCCCACCAGAGTGCTGGGCTACTTTTTTTTGGAGACAGGGACTGACTTTGTCACCTTCTGCAGAGTGTTATGGTGTCACAGCAACCTCAAACTCTTGGGCTTAAGTGAACCTCTTGCCTCAGCCTCCCAAGTACTTGGGATTACAGGCATCCACCACAACTCCTGGCTATTTTTTAGACACAGGGTCTCGCTCTTGCTCAGGCTGGTGTCAAATTGGTGAGCCCAGGCAATCCACCTGCCTCGGCTTCCCAGAGTGCTAGGATTATAGGCGTGAACCATCACACCTAGCCTAGTTTTTCTCTTTTTAATAGAGAAGGTCTTGCTCTTACTCAGGTTTTGTCTTGCACTCCTGAGCTCAGGAAACCACCTGCCTCGCTTCCCAGAGTGCTAGGATTATAGGCGTGAACCATCACACCTAGCCTAGTTTTTCTCTTTTTAATAGAGAAGGTCTTGCTCTTGCTCAGGTTTTGTCTTGCACTCCTGAGCTCAGGTAATCCACCTGCCTTGGCTTCTTGGAGTGCTAGGATTACAGGCCTGAGCCACCAAGCCCAGTCTCTAATAAAATTTTTAAAATTGAAAACTGGGAGTTAGCAGGAAGCTTATTTTTTGTGGATTAATAATATTTGATGCAAGTAAAATGACAATTGAGACTACGGTAAGCATGGCAAGAGATGATTAACTTGGTTAAAAGCTGTAACAGTTACTATAGATTTTGAGTTGGGGAATGGTATGGACGTTAGTTTACTATGTTGTACATTAGGCACAACATTGGGTTTCCTTAACTGTTGTTGAAAGAAGCTAATTCTTCATTCTATTTATTTTTTATACTTTGCATTTCACAGTATTTTCAATAAATCTTGGAATTTTGGGCATTTGTGATATAAAAATATGTGAATATATTTATACTGGGGATTCCAAAATATGTATACATTTTTAAGAATAACTTTTTGGGCTCGGCGCCTATAGCTCAACCGGCTAAGGCGCCAGCCACGTACACCTAAGGTGGTGGGTTTGAATCCCCAGCCCGGACCCGCCAAACAACAATGACGGCTGCAACCAAAAAATGGCCGGGCGTTGTGGCGGGCGCCTGTGGTCCCAGCTACTTGGGAGGCTGAGGCAGGAGGCAAGAGACTCGCTTGAGCCCAGGAGTTGGAGGTTGCTGTGAGCTGTAATGCCATGGCATTCTACCCAGGGGGACAGCTTGA